GCGTGCAGAAGGGAGACATTTTTGGTCGAGAGCTACATGAGGGAAACTCCGGAAAGGGCATTGTACAAGCTGAAGGAGCCCGCATTGAATGTGAGCTGCGTTACTGCCTTTCGTGTACATCCTCCATATTACCATCTCTTGGTCCTATACAAGTTCATTTCACTGGCTTCTTTTTGTTCGGATTATGGCATGTGTACATAGACAACAAAGTACACAGGGAATTGAATGATTAAGTCACGCTTTGCTGTCGTGCAGAACAAATCTTCCATTTTCGCTGGATATAATCTCAGTATTGATATCCGACACGCCAGCTTCTGAATGAGCCACGGTCTGGGGAAGGACAAGCTTTAGGAGCGGATCTTGAGAAGACGGGGAAATGACCTCACAGCATCCTTGACACCGAAGCATTCGTTGATAAGGGAAGATTTCCCTACACCACTCTGTAAAAACAAACTGTAAGCTAATATCTGAGAATAGAGGTATAAGAGAGCTACTTTGCCGATGACCAGGACTCGGAACCTAGCGGTAAGGTAAGTCAGAGTAGTCGGGGATTAAGCAGACTAACCGTTCAACCAACTTGAATAACTCATCCGTTGTGGGTTGTAGGTCGCCACTCGTCGGAGGTTCTGCCTTGGTTAAAGCATTCTAAGATCGATAGCACCTGCATTAGGCGGACGCTTTTGCGTTTGAGGAAGAAGTGCACACACCCCTGCGTATCGGCTAAACTTCAGGACGACATCGAACTTGTCAAATGATTTTGACCATTCTAGAGTAGAAAGTCCTGCATCAGCAAGACAGGAGCGATTGCAGCAGGGAGGCACTTGCCTTGTTTTCCGGAGAAGTGGGGGCCGACCTTGCTTAGCAGTTCATCGAGAGGTATCTTGCTCTTCGACGCAGCACGAAACAATCCGCGGAATCGGACTTGCAGATAGAGGGACTCTGAAGGCGAAAGTTGACTGCTTTGACTGGGTTTGTCGTCCAATGAATGCTACACATGATCATCGGCTCACCAGGGGGATGACAACTCAAAGTTGTGGGTCTTTGCATTCAGGAGACAAGGTGATTCCCGCTCGAACGATCCAATCGAAAGTTGGACCGATTTGAGGATGTGCTGGGATTCAACGCAGATTTCTAGCCAATGGGTGTCAGATGTCTGACTTGGGGGCAAAA